ATGATTTATTATTGTGATTTATATTGTGATAGTGTTATGTAGTTTTCTATAGTAATTTCTTGATCACCGCACATTGATCGGCAATTTTTAGGCAAAGTTTCAGTAAGACAAATGAGATGTGGTTTAAGTTTTTGAACAATGAAATTTAGTTCTTGGTGTTTGTTTAAAATCGAATCAATGTTGGTATAAATTAATTTTAGTGATTTGATTTGTGTGAGCTTGTTACCTTTATCAGATTTGAAGGATAACCATTTATTTATTTGTTTAATATTATTTAATGTGTTTGCTAAAGTTGAGTTTAACAATTTTGTTGTGCCTGATGCACCATCGAAAGGGCGAGTTTGGTTCATTTTCTAAAAGCTGGTGGTTTCTATTCTTTTTTTCTTTTCTTAATTCAAAATCTATTAGCCTTTCTGTTGGTGTCATATCCGGGTTTAAATAAACATTTTTATAGTTGTCGTTATTTCGTAATTCCCTAGACGCGAATAGAACTTTATTGCGTTCACAGTTTTCAGGAAGTACAGCAATAATTGGAGATGGATTTTTTGAAACCTTTTTTTTTTTTAGCCTAATTAATTTAATCGGTTTTTCATTGCTTTTGCCAATGTAATCAAATATTTCATTGACCATTAATTAATCATCATATATTGTATCTGATTCATCCATTTTACTCGATTCGGGAATTCCAAAGATTATAATATTGTTTTCTCGCTTTTTTTTATTTTCCTGTTCTGATATTATTGAATTTGCGATGGTGTTTACAACAAGTGATTTTTCCATGGATGTAGTTTTCGTTGAAAGTTTCGACCAAAAATTAGCAGATTCGTTTACCGTTGGTTGTTTAGATTCAAGGAATTCTATTCTTTTTATTAAATTTTTTATGGTTTCTTGCTGTTCTCGTACTATATCAGATAATTCTGAACAGCTAAGTTTTCCTTGTTTCAATATATTGTTTTTTATAAAAACATAATTTTTTATAAAAACATAAGAGCAATATCGTTTTATACGATATTGCTCTTCTTCATCTTAAGATGAAGAAGATCATCTTTTTGAAGCATCATCTTTTTGATGTTATTTCTGATCAAATTGACCGAGTACTCTCTCTTTATCCATCAGCCAATATTGTTGCTGTTAGTGACTTTATTGCTTATCATACTGAATAGCTTAGCTCTAGTGTCAGTGACTCTAGGCATTATGACCCACAACTTTTGCCTTTCTTAATCTCTAACTCAAATAGTCAACTTTCCAACTCACTTTCCAGACAACCCGAATCATTTACCTTCTCTACTCAACTTGTCTTGTTTCTGATGCTAGTCAGTTCTCAGTCACACCACATTCACACTTAGGTGCTTCTGATCACGGTTTGATCTCTCTAAAACTATTATCTCATTCTTCTTCATCATTAGAATGCCCCTATCGTTTTACCTCTTACAACTACCTTAAAGCTGACTGGAACTCTTTCTGTGATTTCCTTCGTGATGGCCCTTGGGTAGAAATATTTTGTCTTCCTGCTCACAAATGTGCTTCTTACATAACTTCGTGGATTCAGGCTGGGATGGAATCCTTTATTCCCTCTCATTGATTTAAAGTCAAGCCTCACTCTTCTCCATGGTTTTCCTTTGGAAATTGCAGCATTGTGCTGCTGCAATTTCCAATTGAAACCATTACTTCCATATCTATCAGCAAAACAATTCTCCAGAAAACAAATGTCTGTTAACCATTGTAAGAAAGTCACTAACAGCAACAATATTGGCTGATGGATAAAGAGAGAGTACTCGGTCAATTTGATCAGAAATAACATCAAAAAGATGATGCTTCAAAAAGATGATCTTCTTCATCTTAAGATGAAGAAGAGCAATATCGTATAAAACGATATTGCTCTTATGTTTTTATAAAAAATTATGTTTTTATAAAAAACAATATATTGAAACAAGGAAAACTTAGCTGTTCAGAATTATCTGATATAGTACGAGAACAGCAAGAAACCATAAAAAATTTAATAAAAAGAATAGAATTCCTTGAATCTAAACAACCAACGGTAAACGAATCTGCTAATTTTTGGTCGAAACTTTCAACGAAAACTACATCCATGGAAAAATCACTTGTTGTAAACACCATCGCAAATTCAATAATATCAGAACAGGAAAATAAAAAAAAGCGAGAAAACAATATTATAATCTTTGGAATTCCCGAATCGAGTAAAATGGATGAATCAGATACAATATATGATGATTAATTAATGGTCAATGAAATATTTGATTGTAAGAAACCATTGTAAAAAGGTTTTGTCTAATGCCAAAGCTCATTATTCTCAGGTCATAAAATCTCATATTTCATCACAAAAATTAGGCTATCGTGACTTCTGGAGAATTTTTAGCAGTATCAATAATAAGGGCAAACCTGTTATTGCACATCTCTTGTATGGTTCAGACTTTGTCACTTCACTTAAAGACAAAGCTGAATTATTTGCTAAGAACTTTTCATCAATATCATCTCTTGATTCCACTAGTTGCGTTCTACCTGATATAGCAGTCAAACAGGTTGATCCACTGCTTGACATTTGTATCACTCTAGCTTCTTTACCTAAAGTGATATCCTGCTTCTTCAGCTTGTGGCTTGGACAACATACCTGTTACAGTCTTGCAGAAGTGTTATTCGAAGCTGTTGTTTATCCTTTTAAAATTATTCAACAAGTGCTTATTAGAGTCTTGTTTTCCAGCCTGCTGGAAAGCAGCATCTGTTAACCCTATTTTCGAAAATTATGGAGAGCGATCTGATTCTTCTAACTACCGTTCCATTAGCTTTCTTCCTATCATAAGCAAGGTTTTTTCAGTCTTTAATTAACAAACACTTTTAAAGCTAATTTGCTAACAGTAATAACCGATAGGTTTTATCATGCATTAGATAAAGGTCAAGGCTATTGCTCTTGACTAAAACTTTTGATAAAGTTTAGCATGCTGGTCTTCTCCATAAGCTTTCTTACTAATGGTAGAATAAAAATTGTCCTTGATGGACAGCACTCTTCTTCATAACCTGTCACTTCAGGGGTTCCTCAAGGTTCAATCCTTGGCCCTAACCTCTTTTTAATTTACACTAATGATCTTCCAGATATTCTAACATCTGAGGTAGCATTGTTTGCTGATGATAATACAATTTATTCTTGTCATGGTAAGAAACCAACTCTCTCCAATTGCTTGGAGGGGACATTTGAGCTTGAAAAGGATTTCTGCTACAGCATGGGATTCAGTGGCTGGTGATTTCAGATTTTTTAAAAAGCTTTTTTAAAATGACATATCTTAGAATGTTTTTAAATTTGTCCTTGTTGAAAAATAATTCCAGTTACTCTAGAGACATGACAAGGTTACAACATAACAATAACCCTCTTGTGTTGTTTTTGATTTATATTAGAAATTTTCCTGATAATCCTATTCTGATGGCTCTATTTGCTGATGATGCAAATAAATACTCCAGTCTTGACAAAGTCACCACATTTTTTTCACTGAGTAACCGCTTAAATGTGCTCAACTTTTTGTGACAATTTGGGGCTAACAGTAGTTGGTGAATTTCAACCCAAACAAAACTCAAATGTTTACTGCTAATAACTATAAAAATCTCAAATATTGTTGAAATTCTTATATTAATGACTCTTCGAGTTCTCCATCCCTATATCGATAAATGGCAATTCTCAAATTATCTTTCCACTGAATTATCATTACTGAACCCTCATGAAAACTATATATACAATCTATCAAATTATATTTCCACTGAATTATCATCACTAAACAAAAACCATATATACAACCACATAGTTAGCATCTACTCCTCATTTTCTTACCTCTAGTTCCATCTTCTACCTCTATAAATCTTTTATTCATCCTTGTAGAGAATACTGTTGGACTATTTTTTTTTTGATGATGCCTTTTTTTTTTTAAGACAATTTCCAAAAATGCATTGTAAATGTAGTTAGACCTGCTCTAACTGCTAAGCTTGAGTCTCTGTACCATAGCCAAAAGTTGCATCTCTTTCTTTTTATACAAATACAAGCATGGTCAATGTTCAAGTGAGTTATCACCAGTTCTTCCATCAACCAAAACTCAATTTTGCAATTGCCTTAATCAACACATGTTGCATCCTTTAAAATAAAAATTTCTTAAAATTTCTAAACAATTAGGTTGTTGTTGTTTTTTTGCAGGAAAAAAATAATCAAAATTTCCAGCAATTTTTAAAAATTAATCTAACAGATATGCATGAGAAGTCAAAATTTTGTTTTCTACAATCAATTACAAAATTAAATCAACAATTGAAATAGACAAACTAAAGCTAAGGCTTCTAAAGATAAAATTTGATTTTAGTGCTTATATATTTTCTTTTTCGTTGTTTGTATTTTTCTTTAGTTTTTTTTTTAATTTTCTTAGTTTAAGTTTAGCTTGGTGTTTCTTTTTTTAGCGTTTTTCAAAAAATATTTCTAAAACATTTTAACAGTTGTGTTCAAGTTGTCAAAAAAATAAAATTTGTGCATTAAAAAAAAAACTTTTATGATTGACTAAATTGCTTTTTTTTAAAAACAAATCATATTGATTTTGTGCTATGATTATTCCCACATACCTGAAGGAGGATGATTGAGTGTTTTTATAGTATACTTTGGATTCAGGCTCTCTCCCACAGGTCTTCAACATAATTATAACCTGTGCCTCTAATTTGTTGCAACAAATTAGAGGCACACACCTCCCATTGCAATGTACTTTTGTCTGTAAACATTATTCGCTCAAACTATTCCGGTGTCTTGTCTTGTAAACTCTTACAAAATTTAATTCTAGCTTGCAATTATGCTGGTTTAATTTAAGTTGTACTAATTACATACAAACAATATAATTTTTTTGATTAATTACATCAATTTTTATTGTTACAAAACTAAAAGTTTTAATTAAATATTGAGTTGAATAATGAAAACCCAAAAAAATTCCAAATATAAATAAATACAGCTGTGTCATCAGGCTTACCCTTTCCACCATAAAGTCAATGGCATCAGCAGTATCTGGGTCAACATCTTCAATTTGAAAGTTTCCCATTATCATTTTCTTTAATAAAAATCCAGGCAGCATCCAGTAACTACACAAAAATTTAATTTTACTATTTTATTTACGTTGTCAAATTGAATTTTTTTTTTTTAATCTAGTAGGAGGAACAGTATTTGTAAAATTATTGCTGCAACACCAACACTTTGAAAATTTATGCTACAACACCAATACTTTGAAAAAATATAACAACTTATATAAACTATAATTATAACTTATTTTAAATTATAAATTATTATAACATCATTGCTACAAATTTTGATTTTATGGTGACAATATATCAATGGTATAAGTAATTACTTATTTATATATTAAATTTACAAAATAAATTGGTATGAAAAAAAATTTAATAATATTAAAAGGATTTAAATAAAATTCATGCATTTATACTTGCTTACTACTTACCAGCATATTTATAAATATTTTAACTTGATTTCTTTTTCGTGAGAATGATTAATGCCAAACTCTTTATGGTTTCACAGAGATATATACTCTATTCTAATCTGTTTTTTCAGAGGTGTTAACATTTTTTAAGCTTGATGTGTTAACTTATATAATATTTGTTTGATAGTGAAAACATATATATATAACTTTTTTTTTATTATTATTATTAGTTATTCAAACTTTTATCTTTTTTTTTTTTAATTTATCTACTGTAAAATAATTATAAAACATTTAACAGTAATATTTATAAATTATATTGGTAGCATTAGAATGTTTATATTGTGTGCAAAAAAACCCCTTGTTTCATAACTGGTAGTAATTGCACCTTGTTTCTCCCTCAAAAGACAATTCCAAGGTTTGATTTTTCTTTTAACAGGTTGAAACTGCAGGACTTAATAATAGGAACAAAAAGCATTAAAAATACACTTACAAATTAACCATGTTTGTTTGTTGAAAGATTGTAGTATCTGTGAAGGAATTGCAAAGAATCAGAGAATGTATCCGTGGACTTTTGACAGTGTGTTCTGCAAACTTTTGAGCTAAAAACCCACCAAGTGATGCACCAAATATATGGACCTTAAGTAGAGTTTAAAATAAAGTGTTGCAACATATTTTCAAAAGGTATATTGCACCCCTTAAATTTGTTCTACATATAATTATTTTATAAAAATTATTTTAGGACTTGAACATTTGCAAAAATATTTGGCAAACTATAAAACTATGTCAGCCTGATAAAGAAACAGCTGAGAAAAAAAAAACTGCATCTTCTTAGGAGATTTTGCAGATTTTATAATGAAACACCCTGCATATGGGTGTTTATGGTGCATATATAGGGTGGACACGGTGGCATGTGTAGTATATAAATATTTATTGCAAACGCATTGATTTATACTGTAAATGTAACTTTGATAAATGTTTATGTTTAATAAAGAACAGTTTGAGAAAGTTTGATATCTTAACATTCAACATAAAACAATTACTCTTAATTGAAAAATATTTTTACATAAAATAATTGGCTACACAAATCAAAGAAACTTTAAAAATAATTATTAATATTGTATGTAATTAAATCATGTTCTTATTTTTTAATAGTGAATGTTTGTACTGTCAACTTTTTAGATTCTCATAATTGAATATGTGGTATCTATGACTGCGTTAAACTTTGTATGGTTTTGTTGTTTTTATAATTTTATATATTTGTTTATATCTTATTAGCTTGGGTTTATTTATTCAATTTATACCAATAAGTACAATAAAGTTTTATATAGCAACATTTGATCTTCCCATTTTCATCAATTTTTCTTCCTGTTATTCTTTAAGTTCTGATGTTGCAAACCACTTTACTGTTTTGTTTAGGTATGTTCTCTAAAAACACTATTTTTATTTACTTTCAGTAAAAGAAATGAGATGTGCTTGTATTATGTGGAACTTCCAAAATAACCTGAAAAGTAATTTGTATGATTCTTGAGTTTTTTAATTTGTAAATTTCTGTCACAAACTCTTTGATGTGCTTTCTGAAATCTGGCAATAGGCTAATTCCGAAACTAGTCATACCCTTCTCCATTGTCTTCATATATGGTTATGGTATCTTCATATTCATTATTGTTTTACTAAGTAAAACAATAACCAGTAAAACTGTAAAGTCCATGCTGTTTGGTATAGGAAAATTGTTTTTAAAATAACTCAACACAAACTTTTCTAACAGGTTTAACTAAAAATGTTTCACCTTGAGTTATAAATACCTTGATATTGACCTAATTATTGCGAATTCTTGCCTATTAACAAAGCAATGCATTTTTGGTTTATCATATTTAACTACTATAAAGTGTTCGATGCAAAAGCAACAAGAAATAACAGGCACCTAATTAAAGTTCTGAAAATCTAACTTGAATATACTTGAAGTTCTTTATATTACTTGAAGTTCTTTATATTACTTGAAGTTCTTTATATTACTTGAAGTTCTTTATATTACTTGAAGTTCTTTATATTACTCTGGTGCTAGAGTGTATTAAAATTTACCATTAGAACATAACTCGTTGACTGAATTTGAAATGCTCTTTACTGTAGATTCTTTATTCGCTCCTTCAAAATAGCAGCAGGTAAACTTTCCCCCATGCCCTAAAAATATTTCTAATGAATTTTATTTATACTTAATATACATAAAGTTAAATTGTGTAACATATTGGAGTTTTCAAATTTTATCTGTGCTGTGCACAGGAATGTCTAATACCCTTTCCTATTACCTGATAACATTGCAAGCAAAATGATACATCAAGGTCTACAGAATTCTTTCGTTCAGTTGAAGTTTCATTGATAAATTTTATTAAGTTTAGTTTTTTATGGTTTCTTGTATCTTGTCCAAGCCTGCAAATAGGACACTCGCACAATGACCTATCTACAACACCTATCTTTCCCAATTCTTCAAAAAAAAATTTCCTTTTTTTTTAGAAATCTTCCACTGATTAGCTAATAGCCAAATTTTTTCAAAAGAAAATTTTAAAACACTCTATAATTCATTCTTAAAATTCTATACATATAAATAGAACTTTCAGCATTGAAAATGAAAAATATCAATTTCACATAAACATTTGTATAAACACCTTGTTTACAGGGTGTATATAAACCAAGTCTTAATTTTAGTATCATAAGTCTTATTATAAGTAACCATTATAAACAGTATTTTACAGTGTGTTTCATTAAAATATCCACAAAATCTCTCAAGAAGATTTAATAGTTTGCAGAATATTTTTCCATTGACATTCAACTTACTTTGCCTAAATTGATGCAGAGCATGTCATGAGCATGTCTGTCAATGTCATGGGCAAGTCAACCTGTGTGTGAACTGTAAGTAATTTTAAAAACTTTGCCTAATTTGGTTACTTTTAAAACACAACTTGACAGTTAGATTTTGAAAAATTAAAACAATAATTAAAAAAAAAAAGATTCAAGAACTTATTTAAATAAATTTAAATGAGTTATTATACAAAATCTAAAAAAAAATATTAACTTTATCTAAACGAAAGTGATCAAGCAATTTTCTGAAACCTTCAACCCATTCTTCATTTGTCCAGTAAACAGGGTACTCAATCTGTAAAAAAAATTTAAAAACTAAAAAATTTTGCTTTATATAAACCTTTTATGAGAAAATTATTTTATTATTTCAATTTTTTCATTTTTATGAATTTAAAAAAAATTATTTTATTATTTCTTAAAACTTTTAACTACAATCATTTATAAATTAGTACTTAAAAATTATAGGTAACACACACTAAGGACCTGCATCTTGAAACATAAAGTATTTATCACTCAATAACAATACAAAACAAGACATGACTGCGTTTCACAAGACTAAATTGGTCTTGTCGTGAAATGTTTTAAGTTAATCAAGACCAACCTTATACTTAATCAACTTAATCAAGTAATACTAAGATATTTCTTGTTATTTTTTCTAACAAGTTATGAAGTATTACAAATTTGTCAAATATTTGGAAATAAAAAACAATTTTCAAAAAAAGCCTTTCAATACTCCTAAATGTATTCTATATGATAAAATAACATTGGAAATAAAAAAAAAATTGAATTCAAACATTTTTTTTAGTGGCTCCCAAGACCATTTATAGGGTATTTTGAAAAAAAAAAGTCAACCCAATACTTAAAAAAAGTAAAAGTATATTAAAATCCTAAAATTAATAGAAATTAAAATTGCATAAAAATTAGGGTTTTTTTTATCTAAAAGTTAAAAAAGATTTTTACAAGTTTTTAATTTTTTTTGTTTTGTTTTCTACATTGAAAAAACAAAAAAAACATTGAATGTTTGATAGAAAGATTGAAATCATTAATATAGATATTAAAGAGAAGAGGACCTAATATAGATCCCTGAGGTATACCAATTGAAACGTTTTTAATATCTGAGCTGGTTCCATTTATAGTTACAAACTGTTGACGATCAGAAAGGTATAATTTAAACCACTGCAAGAATATTCCACATACACCTTAATAGTTAAGCTTTGAGAGGAGAATTTCGTGGTCTACGGTGTCAAAAACGTTTTGCAAATCGATAAAAACCCAACAAGCAAAGTTGCCATTATCAAGAGCAACTCTTATACTTTCTGTAATTTTAATAAGAGCGTGAGTTGTCGAATACTTTTTACGAAAACCAAACTGGTGTTTATATAAGCATTGATTTTGATTTAGAAAGTTGTATAGTTTATTATGCATAACTTTTTCAAATATTTTGCTTACATTAGAAAGAAGAGATATTGGACAATAGTTAGTGCAGTCAATTGTAGATCCTTTTTTGTGAATCAGAATAATTTGAACTAGCTTAAAGGCATCAGGAAATGTTCCGTTGCAAAATGAATTGTTTAAAATGATACTAATTGGTTTACATAGAGTTCCTGACACCAGTTTAAAAAGTTTTGTTGGAAGACTGTTTGGTCCAACACTCTTCCCTTCTATAATAGGAAAATTTATATAATCAAGAGTTTCCTCTTTCGTTATTGGTTGCATATAAAAAGAGTTGCTAGTAGGATTGGTCAGGTACTCATTATAGTTGAATTTAGAATTTGGAATTTTGTAGGACAATTTTGAAGCAATCATGGTAAAGAAGTTATTAAAACGGTTTGATGTTTTAGGATTGGTTTTGCATTTGTTGTTAATGAGTATGCTTGTTAGGGAATTACTATTATTTCGTTTAACATTTATCAACTCTTTTATACCTTTCCAGGTGTTTTTTATGCTATTGATATTGTAAAAAAATTTGTGTAATATTTATTTTCGCTAAACTTTAGAAGATTGCTTATACTATTATGATAGTGTTTAAATTTTTTTAAATATATATTTTTTATTCTCCATTTTTCCAATTAAAATATTTTTTATGAAGTTTATTTTTAATTGTTATTGAGTTGAGAATGCCTTTTGTTACCCAAGGTTGATTACATTTAACTACTTGATCTTTTTGTTAATTTTTTATAGGGAGCATGTTTGTTTGAGATATGATCAAATATTTCAATTAATTTTTTAATAGAGTCGTTAACATCACTGTCATCTTTTATATAGTCATCCCATTCAACATTTGAAATTTCTTGGATAAATTCAGCTTTTTTAAAATTTTAAAGCATCGCCTAACAATAGGTTCAGATGAAAGGTTTTGGTGGAATTAACATAAACTAAACAAGATGATCAGATATTGAAGCGGTAATGTTCCCTAAAATTATTTCAGAAGAATAAAAGTTTAAAAAAATATTATCAATTATTGTTATAGAATGAGTGGTTATGCATGTGGGCTGTATAATAAAAGGAAAAAGAGAATTTGAAACCATTGATTCTAAAAAATAAGATGAGCAAGTCAAAGTTAAAATCTCCCATTAGCATAAACTTTTTTTTGTCTAAGTTAATTTTCTCAAGAAATGGATTTAGGTAGAAATCAACGAATTCAGTTGGACACATTGATGGATGGCGATATAAACAACCCACTATTAGACTGCTTTTTCTTTATAACTTCAATAAATATAATTTATAACTTCAATAAATATAGATTCGAGTTCTTTACTTTTAAGCAGGACTAATTCAGATCTATTTTTAAAATTTAAGTTAGACTTAATATACATTAAAACACCACCTTTTTTAGCTTTAGTTGGTGTGTGAACAGATACACATCCTTCTAGTTCAACGTTAGTTATAGAGAGATCGTTATCGTACAAGTTAGATTCAGTAATCCCAATGATATCAGGCAAATTATCAAAAGATGAATTAAGAAAAATTTATTTAAAAGTCATCAATATGGTAAGGTAATGAAGATATGTTTATATGGAGAACTTCAAGAATTTTAGGACAATTTTTTGTACATAGGAACATCTACATATTCACAGTTAATTGAAGTGGAAAATAAGTCATTGAGGTTCCCAAAAAGTTTTTTTAAATTTGTATTTTCAGATAGATTTTTTACCCCATTGAATTTCAGTGACTTTCCTGCAAGCATGATAGATAACTCAAGATCCGAAATGTTAGAGAATGGAAGAAATGTTTTTGTACAGATTAGGCAATACCAAGTTTCTAAAGTTTTGACTTTTTCATGTTAGTTTGTCAATTCAATTGCTTTTTATGTGTATCCATTTGTCACATAAGTCACATTGAATTGCTGAATGAGTTTTAGCTACTGCTTTAAAGCATATGCCGCATGGTTGTTTCACTACCATCATATAAGTAAAATAGAATAAACAAAAGATGCTAAGAAGAAGAAGAAGAAAAAAAAAATAATAATAATATTAATTAAAAATAAGTATAACAATAATAATTAAAAATAAGTAACAGTTTAGATATATTTATATATTAAAACTAGATAAAATTAAGTTATTTATATAATAATAAAAAATATATCAACTAACTACGATTAACATAAATAAAATGATATACAGATAAACCAGAATAAATAATATATAAATAATAATATAGTTATAGATAATAAATATAGTTATAGATAATAATATAGCTATATACAAATAATTCTAGATTAAATAATATAGTATAATCAGGCTTAGTCGGGAAGCGGGAGCGATCGCTCTCGGTTGCTGACCACGTAAATAATATTTAGTTGCGAAAAGCTGGCCAGATTTTTTAATCGTTTTGAGAACATTTTAAAAAGCAAAAAAAAAAATGCGACGAAGATTATTTGGACCGATGAGAGACAATTACAAAATAAAAATAAAAAAATTAGGCATATAAAATATTTTTAAACGCGAAAAAAAAAAAATTACATTTAGAACAAATATTTTCGAAACATCGCTGTTTTTATATAAAGTAACAACTTATGATTGTTTAAAAAGGGAAACGAATATTCTTTATTTAACAAAGTTTGCAAGTTTTAGTTTTATTTAAGCTAAATTATTTTATAAATAAAAAAGTTAACTTTTTTAATACCTATTTTATGTACTTGTGTAGTTTGAAAAGTTTAACATATTTGAAGCGATTCTTCTTAGCAAGATAAACAAATGAAATAATTAAATCATTGAATTACTATAGAAATTAAATTATCAAGATAGAAATCAACTAAAAAGGTTAAAAATACTTTATGACAAGGAAGCGAAACTGCTTCACAATATCGCTGATGATATTTAGTGAGTGGGCTTTTTAATTTTAATTAATATTTAAAACAGAAAAAAGTATAACGAGTTTCAAGAATGGCAACTTAAACGAAAATAATTAGAGTTAGTAAACCAATATCTAGAAACTTTTCTTTATATCTAATTATTTGCTATATATATTTGTGTTCTGTCGTGACCTCGGGCGCGATGCTTGTTCATCCGCGAGTTACTTTGTATGCATTGTTTGTGTTGAGTAACCAGAAACTTTTATATATGTTTAATACATAATTAGTTTTATTAACTTTAACGATTATAACTTCATTGACGTTATTTTATTAAAAAAGGCACAAATTATTTTAGTAAGTCTTTGTTTGAATCATAAAAATCATAAAAATTTAAAAGATACGATAAAAAAAAAAAGATACGATAAAAAATAAATACACTAAATTACATTTAAATAAAGAATATATCTCTGTTAAAATAAAAAATAAGAATATAACTAATAAAATCTATAATTTAAAATAAACTTTAAAAATTTTAACAATTTAATTAATATATATTTAAAGCATTTTTTTCCGTAAACAAATAATATAGATTCTTAAAACAATGGTAGAAATCTCAAAATGTAACAAATCAAGAATAATAAAATTTCTAAAAAATTTCAATAGAATACTCTAGAACTTAATTTCGCTTAATCAGCGTATTTCTTCAACCAGTAGAATTAGTTTGTTTGTTAATTTGGCGTGTTTTTAGTGTTCGCAAATATTCTTTTTATTCTTTCGCACAAAGATGTTTTGAGAACATTTAAGTTTTTTTGTTTCCATGTATGTCTGTAAAACAAAAATATTTTGTTTCGTACATAAACTTAAATGTTCTCAAAACGACTAAAAAACCTGGCCAGTTTTTTGCAATTAAATATAATTTCTGTGGTCAGTATTCGAGAGCGATCGCTCCCGCTTCCCGACCAAGCCTGTATAATAATATAGTTAAAAAAATTTATATATTA